AGTCAGGTACCCGGATCCAGAGTCAGGCACCCAAATCCAAAGTCAGGTACCCGGATCCAGAGTCAAGTACCCGGGTCCAGAATCAGGTATCCGGGTCCAGAGTCAGATATCCGGGTCCAGAATCAGGTACCCGGATCCAGAGTCAGGTACCCGGATCCAAAGTCAGGTACCCGGATCCAGAGTCAAGTACCTGGGTCCAGAATCAGGTATCCGGGTCCAGAGTCAGGTATCTGGGTCCAGAGACAGGTACCCGGATCCAGAGTCAGGTACCCGGATCCAGAGTCAAGTATCCAGGTCCAGAGTCGGGTACCCGGATCCAGAGTCAGGTGTTCGGGTCCAGAGTCAGGTACCCGGATCCAGAGTCAGGTACCCGGATCCAGAGTCAGGTGCCCGGATCCAGAGTCAGGTGCCCGTATTCAGTCTGGTGCCCACATCCTGAGCCAGCTACCCACATCCTGAGTCGGATACCTGAATCCTGAGTCGGATACCCGGATCCTGAGTCGGATACCCGGATCCTGAGTCGGATACTCGGATCCTGAGTCGGGTACCCGGATCCTGAGTCAGGTTCCCAGATCCTGAGTCAAATACCCGAATTCTGAGTCAGGTACCCGGGTCCTGAGTAAGGTACCTAGGTCCTGAGTAAGGTACCTGGGTCCAGAGTCGGGTACCCAGATCCAGATGAAGTCCCAGTGCTCCTGCCCATGGTGTGAACCTCATTAAACCAGGATGTTCAGTTTGCTTGTGTTCATTTGTCATTTGGCCTCAGAAGATCTAACTTCTCCATAAATAAACTTTAAATAATAGAAAAACTGAACCTCGGAGGACCAGAACCGGTCTCTGTCTCCAGAACAAACAGCTGACGTGTTTTTGTTACAGACGTCCTACAAGCAGACGGATCAGCTCAGAGAGAACTCGTACGGGACTCTGACAGACACGCCTGAACTTCTGCACGCCTCCTACCTCAAAGACATATACAGTCAGGTCTGTAGGAACACATACTGGTGACAGGACCAGAACCCCCCCTCCTCCTCTGAGAACCCGTCTCTGTGTTTCTGTAGAAGAAGTATAAGGACGAGGCTGAGCAGCTGAAGACCCGGTACAGTTTTGTTTCAGAAACTCCAGAGATGGAGAGAGTCCGGGCCAGCCAGAGACACATCAGCTCTGTGAGAACACTAACATTCATCTCAACAAGGTCCAGGTCCAGGTCTTGTCCTCAGAGACCACTGTGCTGCAGGGTTTAGAGGTTTCCCTCGTTAAATGGTTGAAATGTCTGTTTAGTATTTCATCAGGTTCTGCAGGGTTCTGATAAAGATACACTAAATCAGGCGTGGTAAAACTGAAAACATCTAAAACATGAAGGATTCTGGGCCCGGAGGACCAGAACTAGATCAGAATGCTAAGTCAGCACATTTAATTTTCAGTTTTTTAATGTTTCTTCCGATTTTTGAAATATAATTACTTCATACTTTGTACTCTTGTAGCCATTCAGACATCAAAACATTTAGCTCATTCGGGAGGTTTTTATATACAGTATATACTGTGAGCGTGTACTGTATATTTTTATTTTTATTATTATTTATTTATTTTATTAATTAATGTAATTTATTTGTACTTACAAATATTTTCCCCATGGAAATACACAACGATCTCTTAAAATCTTTCTAAAAATAATTGTTCTCTTTAAAATCAGCTTTAAACAGTAGCTCTTTTTTATTTTCTTTGGCTCCTTTTAGATTTTAGCTATCATTCTACTAGCTTTTAGCTAACATTTTACTATATTTAAATTAGCCTTTGGGGTTGTTTTTTTTAGCTTCTAGTTATTCTTGGGCTATTTTTATCTCGTCTCTAAGGTTCTAGCTCACTTTTTTTTATTTTTTACTTTAAGCTATTCTTTTTTACTGAGCTTTAAGTAACATTTTTGCTACTTTAGCTTTTAGCTGGATTTTGCTGTTTTTAGCTGATATTGACGACTTTTTAGCTCCTAGCTGTAGTTTTGCTCTTTTAGTTAGTGTTTGCTATATTTAACATTTGTTTTGCTTATTTTAGCTTCCAGCTAATGGTTTGCAGCTTTTGGATTGTAGGTAGCCTCTTGCTGTTTTTAACTTTAAGCTAACTAGCATTTTGTTAATTTTAAATTTTAAGTAGTATTTTTTAATTTTAGCTAGTTTTTGCTAAGTTTAATTAACTTTTTTCTAAATTCACCCTTTGGCTAACATTTGCTACATTTAACCTTTAGCCAACCTCTTGCTACTTTTAGTTAGTGTTTCGCTGCTTTTAACAAGTCTTGTTTTTTAGCTTCACCAACTCAGCCGTGTTTGTGTAGAAACTTTGTCCATCTTGTTTTTTTTTTTTTTTTTAATCTTGAGTAGTCAGTGGCTCTCTGTCGCCCCCTAGCTGCGATACTGCTGGGACTCCAAACTGATGAGAGGCCTGACGGCGCCGGTCACCGAGACGCCGGAGATCGTCCTTGCCAGAGAGAACGCCAAGAAGATCAGCGACGTACGTTTCTGTCCATTAATCACCGTTGTTTACAGCCTGGGGTTCTGCTGTTAGTTCAGTTACAATTCTGAGCAGCAGCTGGGTGACATCAAGTTCTGTTCAGGTCCAGTACAGAGAGGAAGTGGGTCATGGTACTGCCGTCATGGACACACCTGAGATGGAGCGAGTCCGACGAAACCAGGAGAACATCAGCTCAGTGAGTACAGAGACCAGATGGTGAGGCTGGTGTCGGTCTGTTTGTTTATGGGGTGGTGAGTAAAGAGGATGCAAGGAGGAGCCTAATTTTGAATAAATGTGGGCGGGGCTTTTGTAGCGCAAGTACTGTATAGTCTTTGTCTCAACTCCACATCCTGAGTGCTCAGACTCTGGTTCCAAAAACACATGCGTCATCACCAACCCAAACTCTGAGGAGTAATAGACGACAGCGGATGACTTCAAGGAAAGATATTTAATTCTGTTTGATTTCATGTCTTCATATCAGGTGAAGTACAAGCAGAGCACAGCGAAGGCCACGAGTGTTGGAGTGACTCCAGAGGTGGAACGGGTCAAACAGAACCAGGAGAACATCAGCTCGGCAAGGAAACACCAAGACATTTTCATTATTTTTTATTACATGCAAAGCGGTTCCAGTACAGTTTTAAAGCTGTACAATTTGATTGTTAATCATCAGAGATGGGGAAGAGATATAGGACAAGGGGTGGAGCTATAGAAGACCAGGAGCAGAGCTATAGGAGGCCAGGAGCAGAGCTATAGGAGGCCAGGAGCGAAGACTAGTGTGAACTATGGCAGGGCGGGGCTATGCATATATGTGGGGTGGAGCTATTTGGGACAGGGACTCTACACAGACATGCGTGGAGATTCAGATGTACAAATGGTTAAAATATTGTGAGGAGGACCCTGTTACAGTAACAATTATTCTGTTTAATTTAAGACAGAACAATGCAAAGCTGCATTCAGCAAACTATTTATAAAATCCAGGTCCAACACTTGAACCACGTTGGATGAAAAACTGAACTGAGTATGAAGTCTCAGATGTGTCCCAAAGAGTTTTATTCAAAAATCATCTTCCTTCCTCATGCAGGTGAAGTATCAGCGAGGCTTACAGGAGCTGAGGGGGCGGAGCTGTACGGAGCTGGACACACCTGAGTACAGGCGGGTCAGGAGGACCCAGGACTCGGTCTCCATGGTAGAGGCCTGATTGCTGTGGCTCCCAGCTGAGCTGTGGGAGGAGCTAACATGAGTGACGTGGCACCCCGGGTGGGACTGCTGCACAGGATCTAACCCCCACATCTGGACACATATGGAACTTGTGTGTGTGTGTGTGTGTGTGTGTGTGTGTGTGTGTGTGTGTGTGT